GTGTGTGTGTGTGTGTGTGTAGTGTGTAGTGTGTATATATATATATATATATATATATATATATATATATATCCATTAACAAAGGATATGATAACCCAACAACTCAATGAAGCAATCCAAGAACAATGAAACACAATAACTGGATTATTTGTGTTAACAATAAGACTACAACCACATGAATTGAAAAGCTGCTTTCATCTTTTTATTCGTGCAATTGAGAGTTTATTGAAGGAAATTACCTTTGAAAACACATCAGAACTATTTCAAGATTATTTCTCACATAAACTGACAGAATAACGAAAAGTGTCAAGTTCTGAAGAAGAAAGGAGAAACCCTTCCCGATCTTCCTGAAGATAGAAGACATCTTGCTCAGTTTTTTATATCTAGCAGTGCCTCAAAAGGTCATGGCGTCACTGGCATATAACTGGTTCATTGAAGTAATTTAAAATGAAAATACACAAATCAAACTGTAGAAAAGTACAAGTTTTATTCTGAGAGAACTGGTTAAATTTGCAATTAGTTTGGAATTCATATATATATATATACATGTATATAATGTTGATAAGTAGTGCTCAGAACACCTGACTCCAATTCTAACTCCAGGAATGTGCTAACTTGCTAAAACGATAATACTACAACATCAGCTATTAGCTTCTGAAATTTTAAGCTAAGTGAACCAAACCTGAAATACTGGCATAAAGCTAAAGGTTGAAAGCAACAGCACTCCACAGGAAAATGCATGTACTAACTACATAAAAGAAAATTATAAGGAAATTAAAGTTCACATCATATTCATGATTATATACAAGGAAAAGGGGGACCCAAAGTTCCAAAGTAGAAACTTAGAAGAACACTTTGTAAGCTGTTATGGAACATGAGATTAAAAGAATTAAAAAGGGGATGTGCAAATAAACATGGGTTAGTACACATGAATTAGTTGAACTTAAGATGAACAGAATAGCTTTATATTTGATACAAAGTTTATTTTTTGAAGGATTTTTCCACAACTGAGTGGAAATACATGCCATAAACACGTGCTTATTAAAAGTGGAACTACAGCTATTATTATTTTTTGACATTTTTAAACAGGGGCAGGAAATTGCTACAACAATGGTGCTAGACAATGCACTAATGAAGACAACAAGTAAGATTTCAATTTAAAAGAAAGATGAAGGTTAAGCTTGCTAGGTGTGAGTTTTTATACACAATGTGATGTGTGTAGTGATAAACATGTGCTATTTGGGGATGGAATTCATGATGAAACACAGGAGTGTGTTAAGAATGTCCTTATACTTAAAGAAATTACAGTGAATTGTGTGTGAGCTACCACACCTAAGGATGAGACGGAATAAACTTTCACAGATTAGATGCCAAGCCAAAAGTTGTATGACTGACTGTGGCAATACTTTGGTGAGAAGAAAACCTATCAGTTATATGTAGAAGACACCAATCCAAGATTTATCTTGATAAAGAAAGTCAAAGAAAATATACTAAAAATGTAAGCACACACACCCCACCCCAATCTCTGTACAGCTAAATTCAGGTCATTTAAGATTTCAGCCAAGAGAGGAAAAATAAACCAAAGATCCCAATTCAGTATAGTAACCCAAGTATCAGGAACTTGAAGTGATCAGGGATAGCAAATGTACCAGTGATGGTGGTAATTAGATAAAACACAAATAATATATTTAGTTTAATTTTATATTTACCTTATGATTTAGTTTTCAATTTCAATAACTTAAATAAATTATCTTATATTTTACATTATCTGTCATAAAAAACAATCAAAATAACACATGATCCAACACTAAAAAAAACACTTCTAAAATCACACAATATTCTGAACTCCATGTCCAATCTTACCAAGTAAGTTTTAATCGTATGGATTTGGATGGGCCATGTTGCATTGTTTAGAAATGTTGACTCACTAATACTAAAAAGTGTTCCTAGTATTATTTTACTCTCAAGTAACTTATAAATTATGATTATAGTTACTACTTGTATTTCTCTCTTTCATTTGGTGGGCAGTAAGCCCATCTGTGAATGCTTAGAGCTGGGTGATTGAACTGATTACTTATTAGCACGTGATAACATTGATTGATTTCATGTAAACTAATCAATTCTAATTATTACTACTTTCGATTTTTTAAACAATCGGCTGATTAAACTGACTGTCTGACCAACTAATCAAATTAATGTTTCTGATTATTACCGTTTTCAATTATTCCAACTATCCAAATACTTGAAATATTGATGTTATGTTATGTTTGTTTGTTAAGAACAAAGATATGTAGTGGGCTATCCCTGCTCTGCCTAATTTTAACCTTATAATTTCTTGTTTTTTTTTTCTCATTTTCTTCAGCTTTGATGATTCAGGGGGTAGGAGGTTAACGATTCAAGGTTCTTGGGTTCGATTCCCATTGTCACCAAACTTACTCATCCTGTACATGTTTCTATGTTATGACAGAGCTACTAAGCCTATCTACTACTATCGTTAATTTTGAATTGCCAACATTCTGTTTTTGCTTGCTTGCTTACATGTTCCACGGTTTGGGAAACACTATACTAGTCGATTTAATCAAATGTAATTGATTAATAAAGCCTTTGCTAATTGATTAAGACAATACCACTCATTGCTCAACTCTAATGCCTATGGTTGTAATGTCATTTGAGAAATAGAGAAATCATTAAAAATTATTTAAAAGAAAGATTTAAGACATACATACCTTTAGTGCTCCACACAATTCAATAGTGTGGATATCATCGACAACAACTACTCTAAAATAATCTGTTTGAACAAGTTCTTTCAACAACTTTCCTTCTTCTTTGTCATTACAACCTACATGAAAATAACCCAAAACAACTTTAACTGTTACTTACAACTTTCTTGTAAATTATAAATTTTAAAAGTTTTTTACATCGTAGTTAAGATTTCTGTTTTGTAAATGAGCAATAATCAGAATAACAAAACAAAAATTGAAAAATGTTAAAACATGCATAATCAAACAGTTAAAAAACATTAAAATATTTTAAGGCCAGGCATGATTAAAAAAAACTTTTTATTCAAACATTTTTAGATACTAGCAGAAATGCCACCCTATGGGTGGCTATTTGTGTTAGTGTTTACGAATTGTAGTATTCACACCTCATTGACAAAAAATTTAGAAAAGGGACATTTTCTAAAAAAGGATTCTTTTCTGGAAAGTACTGCACGGGACACGTTCCGATTGTGCTCTTTAATCATATGCAACTCATTTCATCAAAATGATTCAATGTTCAGAGCTCAAAATTTTCATAAGTTTTACCAATATAAACTGTAATGTTTTTATACATTAAAAGTGGTACCATTTATTAAAAAATAATAGTATTTTTAAGAACTCCAGTTTATAAGTACTACATTTAAAAATTACATCAATAAAGATATAATCAAACCCTCACGTACAATCCTAATGAAAGTGGTGTTGTTGTTGTTACTGTGAGGAGAGTACTTTTATTTAAAATTGTGTTCTATTATAAAGTAATCTTAGTTGCACATACCACAGTTATTTTTCTAATTGCCTGAATCTTGAAAACTCAAAGTGTGAAATTTGTTATGGATTTTTGTTTGTGGTGCCATTCAATAGATGGCACAGTAGTTTTGGTTACATACATAGATATGTCCATTACAGTAAGATTGTACACGTTTTCAACTGGAACAGTTTCTCTCTGTCACACACACACACAAAACAAAATAATTTATTATAACCTGAGAAAGAAGGTTGATGTAGACAAAAGAATGAAAAGGATATGGAAAAGAAAAAAATCAAACACAAAGAGAAAAGATTAAAAAAAAAACAAAGTGTTGTTAAATATCCTGTGCTGGTGGAGAAAGAAAGATTTTTGTATACGAGAACCTACACCCACTTTTGGAGATGAGACAGCTGGAAAACATACCTGCACGTGTGGGTGGGTGGGTGTGCGCCCTCATGTGTCAGCTTAAAGAATACTGTATCACATCAAGATATCTTATACTTGAATTATAAACCAAAATACGGAAAAACTGAAACAAGTCAGTTAAGATACAGACAAACTGTCTCAAAAATTATTAGGAGTGAGGATTAAACACCAGTCATTTGTGAACTTGAAGAGAGTGAACATCATGATAAAATTAAGATATCTAATGTTGAATTGCTGACGAAAGAAACAAAACTTCCTCAGTGATAAACAAACAAGTAATAAAAAATTATATTATAAATGTTTGGAAACAGCTCGAACGGGTAATGAAGAAAACTATTATAAAAGTTTGGAAACAGCTCGAACGGGTAATGAAGAAAACTATTATAAAAGTTTGGAAACAGCTTGAATGGGTAATGAAGAAAACTATTATAAAATTTTGGAAACAGCTTGAACGGGTAATGAAGAAACTATTATAAAAGTTTGGAAAAGCTTGAATGGGTAATGAAGAAAATTATTATAAAAGTTTGGAAACAGCTTGAATGGGTAATGAAGAAAACTATTATAAAAGTTTGGAAACAGCTTGAATGGGTAATGAAGAAAATTATTATAAAAGTTTGGAAACAGCTTGAATGGGTAATGAAGAAAACTTTCAAAAGTTTGGAAACAGCTTGAATGGGTAATGAAGAAAACTATCATAAAAGTGCAACATTTCAACAAGATTATGTCATCATCGGGTACAAGTAGTTTACACAGACACTAAAATATATATACAGTATGGAACATAGAGATAACATGACCAGAGATCGCTTAACAGCTTAGTAAAGGTATATTGGTACCCCGAGGTGTTGGTTTAGAGTAGGGCTGTTTTATTTAATTAAGATAGCTTACTTTATTTTGGATTTGTTGATGTCTATTTCTTTGTTTAAAATTATAATGTTTTGTATAGAAATGCTGTGGTTTTTTGAGTTGAAATGGTGATAAAAACAAGACTGAAGACGCCACAAAAGTCAATAAGCAAAACCCATCATGAGGTTCCTGAATACAAAATTCACTGCTTTCCTCATAAAAAAAGATAAATTCAAATATAACAGCCACTTGAAAAAGTCAGAAAAGAAGTTTCTCAAAATCTTCCCTTTGAACCTGATTATTTTTCCAGGTCTGATCAGAAAGACTCAGCATTACAATTGAATATGGGAAGGAAGGAACCAGTCAGAAGCTTGCATGTTGGCAAATCTGGTTAAACATAGTGATTATGTTACCTTTGAGTTACTGTTGTTTGTGTGTTGATAAGAGGTTAAAGAAACTTTAATTCAGGGTATTTTGGCATTTTCAATCTCAAAAGCACCTTATATGATGCATGGGTTTAATTACCAGGTCAGAAACCTCAACATTCAAACCTACTGTTCAGAAGGAGGGCAATCGCTTGGCAGTATTTGTCACCTACGCAGTTACTCTTAAATGAATATTAGGACTGACGATCAGATCTACACCTGCAGCTAAAAGTGCAGAGTGTGCTCAGCAGCATATTAAAATTTTAACCTTGGACCTTCCAATTCACAGTCTGTCATGTTACCCACTAAACCATGTCCAGCCCTTAATTCAGAATACATAGTAGTATAGTGAATAAAAAAGTTAAAATGTATGGGCAAATCAAAGGCATGAAAGAGCACATAAATGTTTAAGAAACTAAAAATGTACAAAATAAAAATATCAGACTTTTAAACAAACAATGAAAGTATATAGAAAACTTCTACTGCAGATGGAAATCCTGTAGGCAATAGACAACATAAAATCATAAAAATAAGAATTCAAAAGACATGTAACAATGTCACGAAAGAAAAAATGATTAAAGAGAGGTACTGCAGAATTAAGAATTATTACAAATGTTGAAATCTCTAATTTCACAACTGTGTTAATAAAGATAATGGAGGAACTTAAAGATATATGATCTTTAACACTGTATAAAGTTCTTTCTGGAAGTAAAAGTAGAGAGAGATGTAGCTTAAGAACCCACCTATTGTTGTCTCACAGAACTTCTCTGCTGCCACTTCAGGAGCAAGATTAGCACCCATTAACACTGCTACATCTATATTTAGCAATTTATTGATGACATTGCTTATCAAATCTATGCCGCCACCAGGTGTAATATCAAAACCCTATGGAATAAATACGGATTACTTAAATACACTACTCAAAATAATTAAATAATAATTGAAATCTGCAATATTACAGGATTGTCAAAGCAAACACAAATTCTATAAAATAATATCAAAAGTACCTTTACTTATTTTTTTTAAGCCAATGATCCATCACAATGATCAGTTATGTAATCTGATGTCCAAATGCTTGGTCAAGAAGTACATGTTTTTATTGGTGTTTTAAAGCACAAAGCTACACAGTATCTAAAGCTCAGGGCCAGATTAATAAGATAGCGAGAGAGCAAAGGTAACTTCAGTTCTGTGCCCCTCCCCTTTTGCCACAAGATCTCTTTTTTTATTTTTGCATTGAGACAACCTTTTACCAAATATAAAGGTTTTAAAATATTAATTCCAAGTTATCAAATTATCAGAGAAGCTATTAAAAAAAAAGAAAGACGTAACCACTGTTGGCCCCTTAAAACCATAGGGCAATTCATAGGCATATTAACTATCTACTCTACCCTTTTTTTAATAAAGCCCTGCTGATGACTCTTATTTGCACATATGTTAGTTTTATGATCATTACATAAAGTTGGTGAGTGTTATTAATTCTGTGAACCAAATAACACGCTTCCTCCACCAAATATATTTTGGATTATTCTAGTTTTATGTAAGCTGAGGTAGGGATAAAGATATATAACACATCTAACTAGTATATGTACATTTCACTATCCAAGAACATTTTTATTAAAAGTTTAGTAAATATTAGTAACAGTTTAGGATTTGATTTATGAAAACATTATGCTTCCATAAAAAAAACACTTTTAAGTTTTAAGTTGTATTAGCCAGATAAAAATGTGATTTGTTATTTTCCCCCTTTAGAAATGCATATATCAATTATCTACACAAACAAACATTTCCTGCATAATCATACAAAATTATATTAAAATAGTTGAAATACAAAAATTGCCTCATTTTCTTTACAGTTTCAGTTCCAAGGTAAGCAGGATTGTTCAACATCTTTTAACACTCATATTTCCCGTCCATTTCATAAGTAATATTTTGAGTAAGTGAAAAAATTCTGCTGTAGAAGAAGCTTATTATGTAAAATATTAAACTTGTCAAAAATACTAAAGATAAAAAAAACAGTAATCTTCTCAAAACAATGGTGGAAAAACCTTTTATAACCATATTCAGTTTCTTTAAAAAAATTTCTAAATTTCCAACAATTTTTACTTTATTATTTTAAAAACAGTTTTTTTTTAAACCATAAGAAATTGATAAAAGAGGTAAGTATGAATTTTTTAGAATTTTATTTTATTTCCAGGTATAAATTTACATTTGACTTATTTGGACTATCCTACTCAACTACAAGCTTTTTTATTTTCTTATACTCAATTTGGATGTCTAAAATACTCATCCAATCTCCTCCTAAACTCCTTCAGTGTTGCTGCTCCTATCAAACTTAAAAGTAAACTATTCCATTGGTCAATTTATCTAATTTCCAAATGTCTATAATGCATCTGTGACAGCAGGTTTCTTGCACTTTTCACACACTTACATACAAACACTCCAATATTAACATATTAGTATAACTTACTTTGTCTTTTGTCATACACTTGCATACAAACACTCCAATATTAACACATTAGTATACATTACTTTGTATCTTTTTTCATATACTTACATACAAACACTAATATTAACACATTAGTATAACTTATTTTGCCTTTTTTCATACACGTACATACAAAAACTCTAATATTTACACATTTGTGTAACTTACTTTGATCAGGGAAACACCAATGGCTGTTGGTTTTATTTTCCCAACTAATGGTTGACAAGTTACCCTGACAAACTTATGAGGTAGTACAAAAATAATAATATCAGCATCTTTGGCTGTATCCACTACATCAGGATTTGCTACCTATACAAAAGACAAAAATCATTAAAAATGAAAATATGTGTTAAAAACATTTACTTAGAGACACAATAAACCGTCGCCCAGCTAAGTTATATAATATATAGTACTTAATTTTACATCCATGATGAAAAAAAAAAAAGCAGAAAAGAATTTTTTAAAACTATTGGCCAGTGAAATATTATAGAAGTTATAACCAGTTGTGTCATGAGAATCACATCTTAATGTATATTAACACTATATTTTAAAAACAAACAGGAAATGGAAATATATATATATATCTATTTTTTTCTAATCTAAAAATTAAAATATGTTACCATTAAAGAAGAACATAACTTGCAACCCTTGATAAATGTCAAAACTGGGGGTTGAACAAGTGATAATGTCCTCTCATAGTTGATTAATATACTATGGAAAAGTTTTTTTTTTAATTATTCCTGACAACAGCCTTATTACATCGTTCCTAAGACAACATCTATCAACCCAATGATACACTATTTATGCTAAACTTAAAGAAACATTGTACTTAAACAATATGTTGTAAACAACCTACATTTCATTCTACTGATTCATGATAAAACAGCACACTCAAGGGTATATTAATTATTTCATAAGGACATTTGACATGCAATGGTGAAAAAGTATAGTAAATTATTCAACTTATATTTATTCAAATTCGATGATGAGGAACCCACTTTGAGACTAATAATACTTGGAGACGAATTGAATGGGTAAAGAAGAAAAACTTTAATATAAGTTTAACATAACAGAAATGTACAATGTTTGCTGTTATTGTTATGTTAAATGTATATTAAAGTTTTTCTTCATTACCCATTCAAGCCGACACCAAGTATTATTAACATATATTTATATTTTTTGTTTCCAATTTCAGAAACATATATATATATATATATAGAGAGAGAGAGAGAGAGAGAAGAGAGATACACACAAACTTTTTTAATGTTAAATTACATAACAGATAAAAAGTTTAAACATGCAGATTTACATTCAGGAAAATTTGTAGTCTTCAAAAAAATAGAACCATATTTTTGATGAAAAAAACTGAAAGATTATTGACTAAGTATTTTCCAGTGTCTTCAAAAAATACAATTATTAATACGACATCATTATATATCTATAAATACAGTACACCGATTTACTGTGACTTAGGACATGTTTTTATTACTGAGTAGACTCACAACAAAGTCACTGCATTAGAACTTTATTAAAGAGAATTTAATGTTACACTTTCACCAATTACACCACATTTTGATGCAGATGTTACATTTAGACTTGGGTAGCTGCTTTCCATCGTTCTAACCTTGTAACAGCTTTATGCATCTACAAAATGATAAATCTAACAAAACTTTTATATGTTAGTTATTTTCACTAGGATTCAAATCATCCTGAACTTTGCACCGTTACTCACAACAGTACAATTCACTATAAACTAGCAACATCGTGTACATTGTATGATATTTCATAACATGAGTGAAATTTGACATAATATTAATGGGTTACTTACAACATTTGGTGGTATAGGAAAACCTGGCAAGTATTTCACATTTTCATGTTTTGTATTGATTATTTCACTCAGCTTCTGTCCATCTACTAGTTCTTCGAAGACATACATTTTTACTGTGCTATCAAATTTTCCATTCCTTGACACATTACTTCCAATGATTCTGGAAATAGCAGAGCCCCTGCAATGCAGTTTACAAGAATAAATCTTTTAAAAAGATGTTTTACAGGGTTTAGAAAGATATGTCTTCACTTATAAAACAAAATCTTAACTTCATAACCAAAAGTGAACAAATAATTTAATTTATTGAATCAGCTTTTAAGATAAATATCAAATTAACGTAACAGAGACAAGATACCATTCAGTTGTGCAAGGCTGTCCTTGCACACACACACACACCCTTGAGAAATTAAACATTTAAACACATTCTTTATTTTTTTAACTCATAAATTTCCTCTCTTAAACTCCTATAAAGTTCTGGCCTGTATTGCTGCCTTACCACAAATCATTGTGTAAGAAAATCACCGTGTTAGAGAAATGAAACTGTCTTTACTAGAGCCTAGTCTGTCTTTTCCAAATCATCTTCATAATTTAGCAAAAAGAAACCAGAGGCTTTTTATCATATTAACTTTGCAGATAATCTTGTAAACTTCAACAAGATCACCTCATATAGTTGTTTTTTTTAAAGAGAAAATCAGTTAAGATAGCTTAACCTATCCCCAAACAATAGCCCATCTATCCTCAGAATCACTCTGATAGCCACTCTTCTGAACCCTTCCCAATAAGAAAATATTCTTTCTTAGATAAAGACAAAAACTTTATTCATTATTCTATGTGAGATTACCTCTTTAAACTTAGAATAAATATGTCTATAAGTACACTATAAAATACTATTAGCTTTATAAATACTAGTGACAGAGCACCATCTTGATAGCTTACATGACATGTCAACCACTAGTCCAAGATCCTTTTCTACAGTCACCCTTCTCAGTGGGTTCCCATTCATATAAAACATATGATCCAAATTATGATAACCAAAATGTATTACCTTGCACTTACTATAACCAAAGGTCAATTAACAAGTATTTGTCCAATCTACTAATTTATCAAAGTCATTTTGTAGTACCTAAATACAGCTAGAAGTTTTTAATGGCATCAGCTAGCCTTACTAATTTACTATTATGCACTTATCAATATCATAAAAGTACACGTTCAAAGCACTGATTCCCGAGGTAATCCACTAGTAACAAGGATCCAGTTTGACTGGACTCCCTCAATAAATAACAGCAATTTGTACAGATAAAAATACAATATATGTATGGACCTAAAAAGGAAACTTACAGTGTGCAATAGCCTTGTCACGTTGATAATAGTAAATATATATTACATGGAAAAGGTGTAAATACTATATTTCATTAGCATAAAAAAAATAAAAATGTACCATATTAAATGTTTATCTTACCGAACAAAAATTATATTTAAAAATTGTTATTTATCTAACCTGAAAAGTAAGATTTATGGAAAAACCAACAACAACGACATGAGTTTACAATCACAGATTTAACAACACAAAATGACAAGTGCTCAATATTTATACCACAAATGTTTGAATGCAATTTAGTTGGCAAGAAAAAAACAAGCTTCACAAAAGAAAGGGGGGGAAGCAAGGCCACAGATATTTTACCTTCAGGTCAGGGAAAACTAGACACTTATCCTATGATATCTTTCATCCCCCCCCACCTCCTTGAACTTTGTAGCACACAATGTACAAGTGGGCCAAGTATACTGCTTGTCATACATAAGCACATTAATTTACTTTTTGATTCTATTTCCAAATGTTTTTGTATTTCATTATGAAAATTACAGTTAAATGCAGACAAAAGCACAGTTAGTCCAACAATGCAATCCAAACTAGGATTTTATTTTTACTTCCATGTATTAAAGTTGCGAGTTTCACGAATACATACTAAAACTGTACTTGTAATACTTTATTTAATTCCAACATCTACATAGTCAACCTAAAAAAATATAAATACTCTCCACAGGATCTGCTAGTGCAAAATATGTGAACCTACATCCAATGATGTAAGTAAAAAAAAAGTTATTAAAAACTGGACAGAGCTTAGAGTTTTGGGGAGGGGAAGAATTTTTACTCATTCTAGGGTCATCATCAGGCATAATTAACATTTCTTAAGGTAAGTAAGCAAAACAATGTTATTAAAATAAGGAACAAGCTCCTAATTTTAGGAAGACCTTCCAATTAATTTCGGGCATAATTCAGGAGCAATAATGTAAGCAGGAATTATATTAATAAGACTACTAAAAAAAAGAAGAGAACATTGTATCTATACAAACAATTATAGATTTAACAGAATCTTATGTACTTTGCAATCTACTCTGCAGACTTAGTATCAGTGAACACAGTGTTTGTGCCTTCACTTCCATAACAGCCTTGGCAGAAATACAACTGCTCTTGTCTATCAACAACATGATCAACATGTGTTTAAGTGATAATCTTCATTTGATCTGTATTTTCACTTACTGCACAGTGTCTTGATTAAACAATATAATTAAAAGGGGGATATATATATATATGTGCATGTTCAAAGATGTAAAACCTGTGACATTTGTTATCTTGGCAAATATTTCGGCTGAAATGGAAGGATACAAGCATGTATTTATTTCAATATAAACAACTATCTACATGTACATGTAGAATCAAACAAGCCAACAATTTCCAGCATAACTTCATCTCACTCCCTTATTATGTATTTTCTCTCCAATGTATACCTTGTTATAGATTTAATACTGAACAGTTTAGCAATTATAAATAGTTAAATAGTGCTTTTTTATTTGCAGGAGCTGAAACTTCTGATTATATATATATATATTGAAATTAGTCTTGCCAAAGCATGTGCACATAGTGATATTAAAAAGACTTGCATGATTTTTTTATAGTAAATCTTTTCTGTTATATTCTATGAAACATGTTCATTTCTAGATAAATAGGTCATGTCTGTTTTTCCATTTACAAATAGACTGCATCTCTTGTTTTTCTAAGATTACCGGTTAGCTTGCACAATTTTTGTAAAGTATAAAATGTAATGTTATAGTAACATATATAGATAAAAAAAATCTAGATTTGAAACTTTTACTTTGTTCCAAAGTATGTATACTTATTAAAAAGATTCACACTTGTCAACTTTGACCAAACTTGATGCCCATTTAGTTACAGAAATGAAGCCACGTTGTGTTCACACATTCATCATCATTGATACAATTTACATAAACTAATGACATGCATGTATACTGTACAGTATATACAGTAATATATAAGACAAAAAAAAATATTACATTAATTCAGCATTTCATATTTTTTGTCACAGCACAAAAACAACTATATTAATAACAAAGGCATCTATTATTGAGCTGTACCAAATGGCCACAACTTCTCCAAATTAAACTACTACAAAATAAGCTGTATGATAATTTTCTACAAGATCATTACCTCTTTAATCTTTGGAACCTTTTACAATACATAAGTCAAAACCTGTATATACTGTAATAATTCATAGCATTTCTGGTTCTCAAACTATCTTTGTTTCTCAGGTTACAGATAAACTACAATGTTACTGATGGCTTGTCCACAATTTTCATGCATCATTACCACATAAAACAGTACAGCTTTTAGTTCGAATAAGCTTATTGTACTATATGTACACAACACAGTTTAAATATTTGCTGTAAAAATATCTTAACAATAATAATATATATATATACCTATTTATCATACATAAAATAGTTTCTAATTTTAACAACATATAACTGAAAAATATTTTAAATCTATCTGTGTCAACATATAAGTTATCAGTTCTATTTATAACAATCATCATTCTGTTTACTTTCAACCTACAGAGACTATAAGTATAACCAAGTTTAACATTACTTGGACAAATCACTCCATTCAGTACTGGTCCCTTTATTACCCTTATATAGCTTGTCCTATTTGTCCATGTGTGCCAACATGTTGTCCTTCACAATTACTAACGAGGCAAAAACAAACTGGGTCAATGTGGGGCCAAAAAATAATATGTGAACATAGTCAAAGTCAGAAACCTACTAAAACTAAAATGAATGTGTATCATAGTAATTTTATTGAAAAACAAGCATATGGTATAATAAAATATAAAATATTAATATACTTGTAGATACAATGACAAAAAAAAAGAATAATATATACACTTTATTCTTATTTATATTACTTGTATTTACGTTTAATAAGTGATATACTAAGGTCTTTTTCTGTTGTTTTTTTTCAAGTATGTTTGAACAAGGAATAAAAACACCATTAGTTTAATATTATATTACAAACCTTATTTAAGCACAGACAATAATGTAAACTAAGAAATGTAAATCTGTACAATCTGTTTGCAAGACCAGACATAAAGTCATACCTTTAAAACTTCTAACACTCTTAATACCTTTAACAGATAATTGGAGTAATGGTAATATTGTTAGTAATAGTACTTATTTCAGTTATTACGTCAATAAATTTTTAAATAAGCATAAGTTAGTACTGATGCTGTGATAAGTAAATTGTGTAACTATGAGCAGTAACACGTTATCTTACTATGAATAATTTATAAAAAAACAAAAACATTATCAATAATTAACTTACAACGTTACCGCTTACACTATAATAATATTAACAGTAATAACTAAATAAGATTAAGAATGTTTAAGAATAAGATATGACTGATGACACGATATTGGTAATACATACCAGTTTCCTGATCCTATAATGGACACTTTCTTAGGGGAAGACAGCTTCACAGCTTCGTTCATTTTTGGAATCAAAAATATTTAGTCTTTCAATAGAGCTTCGATCAAACTAACTTCAAGCTTACACTCACTTTCTAACGAATCGTAACTATTTTCTAGCCAATTCCATCAACACATACAACTCCCTCTAAAACCGATACTGAATGATAGTCTGCTACAGATGCCTTTCATAACTGTATTAAATGTGGTTGGTAGAGGTCGCTGCTAGCAATAGTAGAAGCTTTAGCAATTAGTTTTTTGAGAACCTACAACAGTAGTTAATCAAAAAAATTCAAGAAAGTATGAAAAGGAACTAGATGTTGGTGATCCTGCTTAGCGTCATGATTAATGTGTGTGAGAATATGAACAGAACTTTCGAATCGGCATTATTGCGATGTGAAAAGTATTTGAGTCTAGTAATGACACGTTTTAAGACTTCCTCTTTGAATATTTCAGAAGAAGAATTAGTTGCATTGACATTACATAATCTTCAAACATCTATGTAAATTACATATGATAGGTAAAGAGCAGTCCAAACACCCAACAGGATATGTCGTTTGTCAAGTGTTTTTATACATACCACAAAGATCAAATAAGGTGCATCATTTCATATATTACCTTGTTTGTTTTCGAGAAAAATTTACATGATTAAAGTTTTGTATAAAAAGTTAACTTTATATTTGGTAATGTCTTCAATTTAATTTTTTTTTCCAGCAAGATCTGCAGTACGCCTTATTTTCACATTACTAGTAGAAGAGCTAGGATACTATAAAAAAGTTAAAGAAGATTTAAACTATTTACAGTACTTGAAATTAAAATGAACTATGGGTGTTATGATTCTGTTGTACAACCTGCTTGAGGACGGATATTAGCAGCAACCTGTAAGCGTTTTGTTTGTTCTAGAATGATCCATTAATACTAGCTGAGTGAGGCTGAATATGCGGCTTCGTAGCTCAAATATATAACAATATTTTATAGAGCTAACAAAAGTAGATTGGACAATGCTTCGAAAGCCTTCCGTTTTTACGCCTTTAGGTCAGTTTGGCAGAGTCTGCCTAGTTATGCTATCTTTGTAGATCTTTAGTTTTTTAAGGTCTACTGTACAACTGTCATCCTGAACCAGGCATTATATTCCCTTTCCCCTTCTTCTCGTTCCATTATGAATAGACTTTCTATATTATGTAAAACCATAACTTTGAGCTAGTATTAAGCACATGCACAATTTCTCTAAATGTCATATACGTGTAATATAGTTAAATATTATAGAACGTCTAATGGCAACTTCAATAAACCAATCCCTCTGATGGCTCAGTGGTAACATTTGGGCATATAACGCTAAAAAAATCGGGTTTTGATACCCGCAGTGGAGAGATAATATAGGTAGCCCTTTGTTTAGCATTACATTTAAAAACAAACTCTCCAAACAACAATAAACCAAACAGTCTTTTGTAATGTGAATGTTTTCCTTTGCAATCGCAAAGCACCCAGGATACAAAGTTAAAACACAATATTCACACACATATATATATATATTATATAATATTATTAATGACATATATTATATATATATATGTGTGTGTGTGTGTTTGTAAGAATTATCTTTTGTGATATATCAGTAGTTTACGTTTTGTTTGATGTCCTTTACCTAGGATCAATTTTTCTCATTCTGGACTAAAATAAAACTGTAATCCAGCACTTAGACTATATACATATAGATAAGAACCTGAGTCATTCTCACAATAAAAATATTTTTAATAACAAGATACAGACAATAAAAAAAAAGTTTGTACAGTAACTGAATGAGCAATAATATCACAAATATTTACTTAGGTGATTCTTAAAATAAAATAAAATATTATGTAATTACTTATAAGAATTTAACTATCCTTGTAACCTGATTCATTCAGAACTGTTTGAAGAAAGATATCTCCCAATGTCTCAGCGGGGGAAAAAATGAGAGCTTATAAGGCTAAAATTCTGAATTTGATCCCTACGGTTGACATAACACATGTAGTTCATTGAAGAAAAATAAGAAAGATCACAACAAGACGTCTGACTGTTTGAATTGTAATGTTAGATAAATAGCTGTTGGTTTATGTGATATCACTTAGAAGACTAATGATTTTAGAATGAGAATTTTAATTTATTTTTTTTTGCAAGACTAATCAAATTTTTTTTATCAATCTTAATGAAGCAATCAAATTAAATTTTAGCTATCTATCTTAAATATTTCAAGCAAAGGCTTGTAATTTAATGTTCTACTGAAGTTAATAAGAAGTAACAATACTGGAGCAAAATCATAAACTTTCTGATGAGATACGTATGTACGTGATGGAGTAACGAGCAGTTATAAATGAAATAATTCAAATTTACGAAAGAGACAAATTATAAAACGTATGATTTCGTTTTAATAACAAAAATGTAACATGATCCGCTGATTTCTTTCTTTTTCTTTTTTTTAACTGCAGAATACCGTCCTTGAAAAAACATCCATCATCCCCTTCTTTTCTTATTTATATTACGAGCTACCCCTCACCAGCTGTACATTATATATATAACAAGAAGAAGATGGAAACGAGAAGTGGCAAATCAAACTCCAGCTTAGCAGATTTGATGGCAGCAATGCAAGAACAGCAAAAGAAACAAGAAGAACGAGAAAATAAACAAGAAGAGAGACAACAGCAGTGGCAAGTAAACCTGCAACAGTGGCAGCTCGAACAACAAAATAAACAGGAAGAGAGATTACAGCAGTTGTTGGAGGAAAAAGAAAAGAAACCAGAAAAGAAACAAGAAGAGGGACAACAGCAATGGCAAGAAAACATGTAACAGTGGAAGCTCGAACAGCAAAATAAACAATAGATATTACATCAGTTGGTGGAGGAAAAAGAAAAGAAACAAGAAGAACGAGAATAGAAACAAGAAGAGAGATTACAGGAGTTGTTGGAGGAAAAATAAAGGAAACAAGAAGAGAGACTACAGCAGTGGTTGGAGGAGAAAGAAAAGAAACAAGAAGAGAGGTTACAGCAGTGATTGGAGGAGAAAGAAAAGAAACAAGAAGAGAGGTTACAGCAGTGGTTGGAGGAGAAAGAAAATGAACAAGAAGAGAGACTACAGCAGTGGCAAGAAAACCAGCACCAGTGGCAACTGGAACAAGAAAGGAAACAAGAAGTACAAATGGAAAAGATTAGTAAATTTCAAAGTGAATTAAATACTTTAAAGGATGATTTACAGTCTTTTACACAAGGATGATATATTAGCCATGGACCTAATCAGCCCCAGACAACGGGAAGCCCCTTCCAGACCCCGCAGCTAAACCCTAATGCAGACATCTACAGTACTGTCAGAAGTCACATTCCAGAGTGTCAGCAATAGGGGTGATCTAGTGCAAAGAAAGCCACAGGAATTCGATGGGAGGGTACCATGGGAAGCATATAGAGCACAATTTGAGCTCCTGGCAGAAATGAATGGATGGACAGAGGAGCAGAAAGCAGTGTACCTGGCAACGAGCCTGAAAGGACAACCACTGGAAATACTTGTACAGTTGTCAGCAGACGACAGGCACAACTATAGAGTACTGGTGGCTGCTTTAG